TTGATCATTGTTATCTATCACTCAATGGAATTTTTAGGAACCGTGGACGCTATGAAAATAGTTGTCACGTGGGCTTTCTCAGCCGACCATTGAGACTTGACACCTATGTAAAACACCTGAAACAATCCAAGCGATCAGTTGAGAAACGAACACGGGTTATAATATCCCGAAACGATATATATCTTTTAAAATATTTGATTGTTACTAAGACACGTGACATCGAATAAGTTTCTTTGTACAGCTGCAGACGAGTGGGATATTGTTCCTTTGTGTGGATATTCACGGATACATTCCTCGAATAAGGAAGCTGCCTAAAACTTATACACATAAATTTGGTAGGTTGTAATTATGATATCTGCATTTTGTTTTCCTTCATTTGAACCGATTCGGTCTTGTTTCTCTACGTCTTGGTTGGGAAATTCTTCAATGCGCGATAGACGTTGTTTTCACAGGTCTTTTCCTTTGTAAGCGTGTATATATTACCGTCAATTTGTAAAATGTGATTCGCTCAGGCAATTAATAAAATGTGTAAATATTTCAGTCATTTTGACTAAAAAATCTGTCCAGATTGATCAAGACGATCAAAAGGGCCTACAAACATCACAACAGATTATTATGTAGGATTAAAAGCCAAACAACTTAGAAATGTACTGTTCAACGTTACATTTTCAGTCTCTTGGTGATGACATTAAACATCAAAATGTTTGGAATTCGTTGTCATAATAATACAGATGGAAATGTTTTTCAGTCACTTTGTAAAATAACTGAATATTTAGACGTTTATTAAATTTGTTACACATTTGACAGTAAAAAAATATACACACTATAAAAAAAGCATATGCTCAGGTTAAATATATACTTTGTGTTGCAAGTCAAAATAGTGTAAACGTAAATCGCAAAATTACCAAGCAAGTGACTTATCAAAACTTCGTCACCATTACCGATGCTACTCACAAAGATTTCCTTATAATCTCGAAAACTGTATTTCATTTTGTTCATCAATCTGACCATACGCCCTTATTACTACCACGGACTTGTATAACCTAGGTCCATGTTACTACCCATAAAAGTGACTAATGCGCTTACGAATGGCGCAGCAGAGGTCGCGAACTAGTCTAGATTTCTGCTATACATCCGGGTATTCACTGGGAAAAAACAATAACAAAGGCAACAACCAGTCCCGGGGAATTGCGTTAGATCAGTGCCCCTCAGGCTTTCTTGTTTTTACCATTTCACGTCACCTTGCATATAACCTAAACCAGCATACACCCTTGGCAGTGGGATGAATTGTAGACACGAGTGACAAATACAGAAAAAAATACATTGTCTGTGTATTTGGAAACAAAAATGTCATTGAACATACACAGTAAACTCTACACGGAAGCTCACATACCAAGTAGAATACCACGTGGAAACAGACTGAATAGTTTATTCACGATAGTCAGCACAAGGCTTTTGACTAAACTTTGTAGTTATGTCACTCAGGGACCATTGGAATTGAACATGATGCGTTTTGGGGTATCGTGAAGCAGTGGATAATTGTGAAACCTGAAGCGACAAATGATCTTGATTCACACTGACTATCATTATCTACTCGATAACAGTTTGAAACATTTAGAAAGTTTTAAATCCAACTAGGCATGCAAGATTGGAGCTGCAAAGTATGAAGTATTTGGACACATTATGCATGTGTAGCAGGGCGTGGAGTCATCCCACAGATGACATCCTTACCTTGTCAGCTTGCTGACGGGGTTAACCTCTTTGGTCATGTGGACAAGGCGTCCGACCTCTGATCAGAAGGTCCGTGGTTCGAATCCCCTTACGGGACTCGGAAAATTTAAGTACTCTACATTGACGCCCAACGTTGGGCTGAGCACGTTCGTATTAAATTTGAGCAAAATAAATCTCAGTACCCTACTTTGAGGCCCGGGACGTGCCTTCTGTTGACAGGGGAGTGTGCAGCAGGAGGCGTGGAGTCATCCTTAACCTCTTTGGTCATGTGGACAAGTCGTCCGAACTCTGACCAGAAGGTCCATGGTTCGAATCCCATCACGGGACTTGGAAATTTTATGCAATACGTATATGCGAATATATGCAGGGAAATTGTGATAATATATTTCCCATCTCAGATAATACAAATAATCGATCTACATATCGTGCGTTTAATTCGATGAATTTAATTGTAATCCACCGATGCAAATTGTATTTAAAGTGCATTCAAAAAAGTAGTATGCATATCATGCCCTCTGTTAATAATATTCCCATAAAATCAAACATAGATGGTTTGAGATTGGGCTGGCAAGCTAATATATCGCTATTCGTGTTGCTATGGAAACGCCAATGACTAAATATAAAATGCATTGTAGCAATTGCATTGACCAGCGTCAACAGGCTATTAAAGCTGAAACACCAACAGGCAGAAATTCCCACGTGTAGAAAATGTAGGCATAACAAGCAAAAACAGAGCAAAATCAATCATGCACTCTTTTGTTCCATGGCTAAATGCCCGAAGCTAAATTATTGAAAAGGTGTGTCCTCTTACCTCATCCATTATTACCCCCATGAACATAAACATAGTTATTGTGCAACAACCTTAACCACAAAGGCTTCAATCTAAAGCATGATCTATTGTATCAAATCCGAACACCATCTCTTAGCGTGTGCGCGCATAGGTTCCATCCTATCAGATAAAGCAAATATGATTCAAAAGAGAATATGTGACTGTTTGATTGGCATTCTAGAAGTTGATGATTAAATATGAAAACATACTTTATGGATAAACACTTCTGGTTTATTAGATTTAGGACGTTACGATGTAGATTCTTACATCGTTATAGGGACCGCCGGGTAGCCAAGTGGTTAAAGCGTTCGCTCGTCACGCCGAAGACCTGGGTTCAAATCCCGACATGGGTACAATGTGTGAAGCCTATTTCTGGTGTCCCCCCGCCGTGATATTGCTGGAATATTGCGTAAAACCATACTCACTCACTTACACCGTTATCTTGCTGGAGTGGAAACCAGAAGTTGTTATTCATGAAGTATGTTTTCATGGAGACTGTACATGTGGCCGTACTACCCTTCTAAATGTACAACTGAATTGACTTGTCATGGAACCTTGTGGACGGCGTGATACTGTATGATGTTGACTTTAGCACAGTGTTCGTATCAGATTCATCCCAAACGTTAAGGCCAATCTCTTCTGGTAATCATGACCATGGGTAAGGTGAGGTGAAATGGGGTTAAACGTCAGAGCGCCAGGCAGGGTAACAACAAACACCATTTTGTAACGTTTTTTGGTGTGACGCGGCCGGGCATCGAGCCCCCGACTTTTCCGCTCCCCGGGAAGACACTCTACCACTAGACCACGGAGGCCGTCCACGATCATGGTTGGTTGGTTGTTTGGATGTTCAACGCCGCTCTCAGCAATATTCCAGCTATATGACGGCGGTCTGTAAATAATCGAGTCTGGACCAGACAATCCAGTAATTGACATCATGAGCATCGATATCGATCCACGTAATTGGTTGCGATTCTACGACACGTATCAACCATGTCAGCAATACTGCCACCCGATCCCGTTACTCGCCTCTTACGACAAGCATTGTCGCCTTTTATAGCAAGCATATGTTGCTGAAGACCTATTCTACCCGGATCTTCACGGGTTCCACACACAAGTGCATGCACGCGACTATGTGAACTAATATTTCGCCTCAACTTGAATGTCCATATGTTATATAACATTAACTTTCTTACTTTATAGTAAGAACTATGATACTATCATTGAGGTGTCTTTATGTATTTGTCATTAGCTCATGAGCATCTGTATTTGTCAAGGCATTTGTCTGGGGCATCAGTCCAATGCTTGGGTTCACTGACTGCTCCTCATAGCGATCTTCCTCACGCAAGGGACCCCAGTCTGGTGCCGGGATGCTGGCAAGGCGCAGGCGCTGTAACATGCATCTCTTTTGATAATCATCATCACGGCAGACTAAATCGTCACACTTAACGAATTTGCATATTCATTCATTTGTGACTTTTATTATATAAAATAGATCATAAAAATGAATATAGCGCTGCATGAAATTAATGTGAATAGTCCTCTTGCCTAAATCTCATTAATTGTGGAACGATTATAAGAAATAGAGAATATTTCATGTATCGAGTGAAAATATCTCCTTTCCCCCGACACGAGATGAGAGAAACATGATATTTCACGAGACATATGGAATATCCTATCTATTTTATACTTTTTGTGTAGTAAGATTTTTTTTCATAACAATGTAAAACCTTGATACGTAAATTATCCCTATCTAACACCCAGGGACGTGTCCAACCCTTGTAATTGCGACCTAAAAACTAGTTCCGAGTTTAGAAAATCTTAGAAAATATTGAAAAATAGTTACAAAATCATATTTGAGGTCACTAAAATTCACAATCATACATATTGGATATGATTATATACAAAATCAACTTCCACAAAAATGTTCTTGAAAGTTACGAGACCGCTAATGGAAGAGAAGGAATACACGCTGGTCAAGTGACAAAAATGGCGCTTTGTGAAACGAACAGTCTCGATTGACGAGTTAAATGAGAAATTTATAGTTTATAACGACACATTTTAAAGAGAATAACAAACGGCAAGAAGCGATATTAACTCCATAAATGACCATCTGTTTTATTTGCCTTGTCAGTGTGGAAGTAAACCTTTTGTGCAAGGGCTAGACACTTACGATAAAGGGAGACAATTTGTGGGGAGGTCACTCTTGTATGACACTAGTTCCGTCAAAGTGTTCTGTTCACTGCAGTGAAAATACCACTTTTCTCAACTTCAGAAATCTCAGTCTTTCACACTGAAGTATTATAATAATAATGTAAACTTGATTTCAGCAGGCTATATCATAGTAGTCGCAAAGAATCCTGTCTCGGACAGACAAACCAGAGGTCGATAGCATGAACAGCGACCCTCATCCTAAACGAGGCTAAAATGAAACTGATTACCTATAAGCAATTATATAAAGAGATGGTACAGCGAACCATACCTGCTGTAAACTTCCCTTCCGCTTGAGCGTCTCGTAGACAAACATGATAGGAATTGGTACAGAGATTCCGACTGCCACTAGAATTCCTATTATTTTGGCATATTCCGGATACATGTATTCTCCATAGCTGGGCGGCTCATATCCAAACAAGGAAAGGATGAAAGCAGCCTGCCAACACAGAGTGAGTGAGTGAGTTGGGTTTAACGCCACTTTGCCAACACAGAAATAAAGACATACACAGCGAGGATACAAACATAATAATTAATAAGGTAAAAAGGAACACTGTTAGGTCACAGCAACCGAAAAAGTGATTTTGCAATCGAGCAGAACTCTCTAGATACCGAAGAGCAAAAGAAATTACACCTCTCACTTGATTTATATGTTTGATTTTCAATTGAAAATATCTTAAGATAGCGATATTATATCCCAAAAAATGAACTGTGCTGGCGCTTAGTCAGCAGTCAAAGAATAGACATCTTCTATTTGAAAAAATAAATTTGCTTTTTTCGGCACAATTTTAGAAAATTACAAACACGATAGGGGTCATATGGTTATATCAATCACTGGATTGTCTGGTCTAGACTCGATTACTTACAGACCGCCGTCATATAGCTGGAATATTACTGAGTGCGGCTGGAATATTACTGAGTGTGGCTTTGATGGATATACGTGAGACATGTGCGTGTTTGGAAGATTGCAAAATGAAACGGGAATCAAACATTAACGGAAACATTTTAGCACATGCCTGTTTCGTCAAGCCACAATCTCATTCATGCCAGTCGCAAAGTCAAGCACCTTTGTCCTAAATGGACTGTCTGGCACATTTCATGGTTCTATAGGTTAGATCACGGATCTATAAAGGTCCGTGGTCAGATGTGTTCTTTACGTAAAACAGATTGCTCTCCACGTCAAGACATTCTGTCAACCGAATCTGTCGACTTTTTGTACGCAGTCATTCTGTCGACGATACACACAGCTCGCCATGTCTCATTTTAAGAAGGAAGCGGGACTCGTCACTACACCAAACGCAACGCCAACGTTGAGAAACCACGGATGATGTAATTGACTCTGAAGTCGATTACGTTGAGGTACAATAATGCCAACGTAGGGCCTTGTTTCTGGAGTTCTGGCAGCTCGTAGACGGTTACGGACAGTATGGGACTATAGGAAGTAATCCTGAAACTTGTGTTGCAGTATACACTGTAGTGAGTTTCTCGTTTCATTTTGCTTTGGGCACCAGCTTAGACTACCAACAGCCTCATTTCTCATATTATATTTGAGTCTTGACATGACGATTTTCAAATTCAGATCCTTAAATGAATTATTTGTGAAAACGACAGGTGTCAAAAACATGCTTTAAAAAGTCCGTGACAAATTCAATGACTTCCATGTGAAAACTCCTATTCAATTTCCCAAAAATGAAACATGCAAATGTAAAAAATCAGCGACTCTATCTCTATCTCTTAACTCTATCAAAGAAAATTAAACCGTTTTGGGACATTTTATCATTTAGAATGAACATATAGACTCTCTTTTTACGCAAAATGGAATATTTTCCATCCTCGTTTGAAAATATGTTGCCATCTGTGCGTTTTGTCTAGAGTATATACAAAAACATGTTTTATGTATTCTATATGTTTCGAAAACGTCACAGTGCATTATGTGGTACCAGTGCTACTGTAGGTGCATATAGCATACTTTTGAAACGTAGTCTGATAAACAGTACATACCAAGAGAATGACGGGCGTAACATAAGACGACAGAAGGCTCAAGACAAGTGGAGGACGGCGGCCTGTCATCCTTTCTATATCTTTGCTGAACCTATCAGAACCTGCAAAAAAGAAACAGTGTGCTGTATGTACATGTAACATGCAAATCCTTTGTCTTTTGACTTTTAATTTCATCTGTTTAAAAAGAAATTACCCACAAAATTACATGAGAGCTATCAGACAGCGTTATTATTATGGCATTGACGTTTAATATACCGTACAGCAAAAGAAAGTGTAGATTATGATTGATAAAACAGGAACTTTGCTATGCGAAACTTTCAAAACTGAAATGAACCAGACTTCCAGTATTCATTTACACGCGTGAAAAAATCACGTGCAATTTTTTGGTCTGTTCGTTATAAGCTTCGGAAAAGGAAAACTGCCATCAGCTGAACCTCCGACTTCAATCGACCTAAGAGTGAGTGAGTGAGTACGGTGTTCCAGTAATATCGCGGTCGGGGACACCGGAAATGGGCTTCACACATTTTGCCCAAGTGGGGAATCGAACCCTGGTGTTCAGCGTGACGAGGGAACGCCTTAACAACTAGGCTACCCCTCCGCTCCTATTCGACCAGAGAAGCATGCCCCAACTGAGCCAGATACAAAGAGGAATCGCCATCAGCATGTTGCAAGTCTGATCAACGCCTCCTGCTGTAGCCAGACACCTTGCATGTTGCATGACGACCAACCCAAGATACGTACATGTATCTCGTCATCAACAGACAGGCAGACTAAAGGACCGATGTGTGTTTTCCGGGAGACATGAGGAACAACCGCAGCTGAAGATCGACACAACCTGGTGACACATCTCTGAAACCAACTGCAACCAGCATGGCCTGTATCATCCAACAGAATTTATCACCGTCTGAGAGCAGCAGGGATCCAGTGCCGCCGCCCTTAGGTTGCCCAATACTTACTCTTCGGCTCCGCCAGCAACGTCTGCAGAGGGCCAGCATCAACTCTAGATTCCACCTGTCAAACGCTGATGGACGCATACGCCTATGAAGAAGTTGCAACGAGCGTTATGCTGACTGCTGTGTTCTGCAAGCCAGCGGATGGTAAGGGGGGAGTCTCGGGGTGTGGGTTAGGATTTAGTTTTCACCACAGGACGCATCTACACGTTCTTTGACGTTATGTTACACTTCTATTCATGGTTCATCCTCAACTCCAAGTCTTCCAGGACAAGGCTCGTCCCAGCGCAGCCATTCGATGGAGTTTTCATGAGATGGAACGTCATCAATGTTATACCATCGCCTTCTCCCTCCCGACATGGCACCAATTGAAACATGTTTGGGATGAGATTGGATCCCGACTGGTAACAAGAAGGCAGTCAAAGACTCTTCAGCAACAGGAGGCTGAATTGGTGCAGGAGAGAACCCAGCTTCTTCAGACGTTCTTCCAGACACAATCAGCTCAATTAGGGTACGCTGCACTGATTGTATAGCTGCTCCGGGAGGCCATCAATTATGTTATCAAAGCTACAAAACACTTGTCATTTTGGCACCCAAGGGGTATCTCCTTGAGCATGATAATTCATATGGTAATCAAACACATGCCCTCAAAGGTTGACCTGTCAGAAAATTGAATTAAAATGTATGTCTTAATATGTTTTCAAGTATTTCAAATGAAAATTGCTTTCTTTGCTGTTCAGTTTAAACACATAACAATTGGTATAGTATGTGTTGAGAAGCGAATGCCTGAGCTGGGTTTAACACTGAACATATCAATCTGGAGAGAAGGTTTCTTGTATGGAGTCACATACCGTAGATCCAGTAGATGACCACACATTCCAGGCAGCCAGTCACAAGGGCGTTGAAGGACGAGGAGTACCAGTCCAACAACTGGAAGTAGTACACTCCTCCCTGAACAGTACAAGTCGTTATGTAACACATTAGTGCAATGTCTGCAAACATTTTGTTTGCTTGTTTTTTGTTGTTTAACGCCGTACTCAGCAATAGTCCGGCTATATGACGGCGGTCTGTAAATAATCGAGTCTGGACCAGACAATCCAGTAATTGACATCATGAGCATCGATCCTTGCAATTGGGATACGATGACATGCATCAAGTCAGCAAGCCTGACCACCACCCAATCCCATTAGTCGCCATTTACATGCAAACATCTAAGATAAGGACAAATTGCATTTGTTTGGGGAAATCTGCAACAGAAATTCATTTCAATATCATCTTCTTCAAGATGTAAGGACGAATATGCCAGGTTTGTAATAATTGGATATGTAACAGTAACTGAACATTGCTCGTTGTATCTGGCAGTGGATGACAGCAATGGCAGCGAAAATATTCAATTTTTAATTGGACTTTCCTAGCCATACATTGTTACCAATATATTTCTATTTCTCACAGATCATTCTACTGAAGTAGGACACGTGACGATCCGGATTAGAATAGGTCTTCAGCAACCCATGCTTGCCGTAAAAGGCGACCATATTGTTGAGTTCGGCGTTGAGCAACAAACAGACAAACAAACAAACTGAAGTAGGGGTTTTAATCTAATGTTAGTAGGGACACTTACCGCAGTCACAAAAGGAATAGTAGATAGAAAGGAGACGAGACAAACGCTCAGGGTGACTACAACCCGCTTTTGTTGATGAGTCGAAGGTAATGCTTCCAAAATACCCGAGATTACACTTTCTACGAAGCTAAACTGTAAGAAAAGATATTGGCTTTACTTGTATGATACTGCATGTAGACAACAAAAAGAGTATGTACAAATGTGATTGGAAATATATTTAGCACAGTTATAACTCTTGAAAAATGCATGTGTGAACTCGTCGAATGATATACTTGCGATTCAATATTCCCATTGAATTATCGTATTTCCACTACATAGTTTGGATTCGTCACCACTCGCCCCTTTCCGTAACCTGCAAGAAGACTCGTCCCCCTATCGATGAATGTTATGTGCGAAAATACGACAAACCAATCAGAATGCGCGTATGGTTTCAAGTTCTTCGTCAAAGAATCCCTCAGAAACAATTTATGATTTTAAATATGTCTTGCATCTAAAAATATACCCAAGACACAGTTAAATGTGGTCAATCATATTGTATCAATCCGCATGTCCCGATGTACTTTTAATTGCATCTGGAATATATATAATATATGGGGACATATATGTGAAACATTACGCTACGAGTTGACAATTGTTTTAGGTATGCCCGTTTGCGCTAAG